GTATCTCTGTATAATTCTCTATAATTCAAGTTGCCTGGGTAGCAACTAGATATGTGTACCTGGAGAGGAGAAATCTGGCCGAGAATTTAGACTTTTGCATCACCAGCATGTAAGTGACAATGATACTGCTAGCATTAGATGATAGCTCCCAACATGAATGTGCAAAAATAGCATGAGTTGCCTTAGGGAAGAATTCTAAAGTAATAGTGTTATTTAAAGCATAAACAAAAGCAGAATCATCAAGGAAAGTAAAAGTGGACAGAAAGACAGGAAAACCCAGAGATTCTGATGATTTGCAAACCAATAAAACAATGGTTCTCATGGTGAAAGTCAATATCAATGGTGTCCAGTGCTATAGAGAAGTCAAATAAAAAAATCTTCATTTGATTTTGGATGAAAGAAAATGTTAGTGAACTTGGAGAAAGTAATTTCATTACAATACTGAGAAAAATATCAGAATATAAGAGTTTAAAATATAAAGGTGAAGAAAGAAGTAAGGATAGGTCACTTTGCCAAGAGGTCTGGTACTGAAAGAATGAAGAGAAGAATAAAAGAATAAAGGGATCAAGGTAGAGGAATAGAAGGTTGATAGGAGAGATTTAGTAAACTAGCAAAGACGGAAGATTGGGAGAAAAGAAAGAATGAGAACCAAAATATAAGTCTAGGTGTTACAAATAGGACACTTCCCCAACCCCCAACCAAAAAAAGTGGAAAAGACAAATGTGGAAGCAGAAAGATTTGTGCAACTAGTGACAAGAAATTGAGAAATTTCCTGTTTTATTACTTTAACTTTTCCAGTATTGTTAGAAATTGTAGCATCTACTTAGAGTAAGTGTTGGGGGTTGTATGAGGGAGTATGAAGGAATCCAAAGGTTTTGAACTATCTACATAAAGACTGGCAGACAGAACCTTGGTTCAGGAGAAAGCAGGTCAAGTAAATGACCAGCTGATTTTGAATGTGATAAGTTTATAACAGCTCATTTTCACCCAGAAGTTGTTCTTGGCGCTTCAGATTCAATTGCAAAGAGACAATTTCAAAATACCCAGATTTTGTTATATCTAGAAGGAAATAAGACAAGGAAATTTTGTATGTTGGAAAGAGTAGTCATAGTAATAAATGATGGAGTCTAACCTGTATAGGGGAGAATTGATAAAAGAAGATGAAAAATACATAAGGAGTAATTCATGGGTTTAAGGAATAGTGATATGTATGAATAAATGAAAACTTGTAGTGTCATAACTGAGGCAAAAAGAAAAGGGCAGAAGGTTGCGATCACAAGATAATGTTTCAATTTGGGATACCTAGCCTTTGATCGATTTCCAAATAAAATGATATTCTACAAGGAGCCATGGGGGTGGGAAGCTCAGGTGGAATGATGCTGGTTTCAAATATCAAGAATCCGAGAAGCCATGTATTGAATGTGTGGTGTGCATGGGAAATGATGCCAAATTTGTGCAAGAAGGGTAGAGTGATCTTGGCACCAAAGTTTTCCATAAATAATAACTGACCTGGAAATATATAAGTTACAAAGTATATAAGTGTATAAGCCTCCAAGCATCAGGGAAGTGTACACAGATGCAAGATGTAACAATGAATATGGAACAATGCTCCGAGCATCGGCAGTGCCTTATGTCACCTGCCGGATTTGAAATATCTGAGGAATTTCAGATTT